AGGTAACAATAACAAACACTGAGGATAAGAAGTTGTGACTTTAAAACAATTCTTTATTATTCAAGCATCTAGCAAAAATAAAAATATTTAAGAATCCTGGTCTAAAACAATAAATATTTAGTCTGATTAAAAGTCAGACTTCACATAATAAACCTCATTCTTCACTTCAACACACTGGAGCAACGCCCTCATTACTGCAGATGAGTCATTGAGCCACCATCACTCAAGAACAAGACGTCCAAATCCTTGAACCTCAAGCTCAGAGGGAACATTTGACCTGTTCACCAATAAAGAACCAAAACCTGTTCCTTTTTAAGGGTCTCCACAGAGAGACATACTCATCATCTGACTCTGTCCTCCCTCATCCATGTCCTCTATAACGGTGGTTCCCAAACTTTTTATCTTCTGACCCACAAAATATCCATGGGAAAAACTTGTGACCCCAAATATTACTGGTTTGAGTACACAAACTTTGTTAATAACCCTAAAAACACAGGCTTTTTGTCAATCTAAACAGCTTAAACGCAAATATAAATACTTATTTATACTTTTTTGTGTTTTTGTAATAGTTATGGGGAAAATATTACATCAGCAGTTATTTTATTAACCTTTAAATTGATTTCTGGAGATTATCCAAGGTGCTTCAAGACCCATAATTGGGTCCCAAGCCCAACTTTGGGAACCAAAATGCAGTGGTTCCCAAACCTTTCAGCTTTTGACCCACAAAATAACAGTAGCAGAGATCTATGCCCCCAGATGTTTCTGGATGATAAACATTTGTATCAGGTCAACTAAACATGGGCATAGTAACAATATTTTTACAATACATTTATCAGTTTTAAATATACTAACATCACTCCTTTGTAACAACTAAGGAAAAAATGTAATTAAATCTGAAAATATTTTCAGGACTCCACCTTGATGTTTCGGGACCCCACTTTGGGTCCCGACCCCAACTTTGGGAAACACTGCTCTATAGTATACCCTCTATCTCTTCTCTATGTCCAATCCAACATACACACTGTCCCTCCTCTGGACATGTCCAAACTAATATGTCCACTGTCCCTCCTCTGAACATGTCCAAACTAATATGTCCACTGCCCCTCCTCTGAACATGTCCAAACTAATATGTCCACTGTCCCTCCTCTGGAAATGTCCAAACTAATATGTCCACTGTCCCTCC